CCTCACCAAGTAGGCCCAACCTACCTCCCAGTACCTGTGATCTCTTCCAGTCTGTGACTTTCCTCTGGGAGGAGTGGAGACAGAGGCCTCCTTCATGCCTGGGTGCCTGGTGGGGTGGGTGGCATGCAGGTCGGAGGTAAGAGGTCACAGGCAGGACCTGGCTGTTCCTGGCAGCAGTGTTTGCAAATCAGAGTTCAGAAACAAAGACTTGTGTATGCAGTTATTTTGAGATTTTCCTTTGTAAGAGTACAGAGTATCTGGTTTAAAATTGGCAGATAATTCATAGAAAATTGAACCCTCAAACCCCAAACTTCTGTGATTTTCCTTGTGCTGAATATGGCATTTTCCCTTTGAATCCTTTTGTTCAGGAGGAGTACACAGTAATTGGACCTAAAAATGCATCCAAATTACAGCATCTTCCTCGGAATTAGCTGACAACATAATCATGATTATATTTCAGGGTATAAGATAAATTTTTCATATCAGTCCACTATAAAAATGAAACTAGCTCCTTGGTTATTTTGGTGGATAAACAGCTCTTAATATTTAGGGGAGGCAACCTGATCTGACACTTTCTTTGTATATTTTGGCATTTTGCTATTTATATACTGCTTATGAACATCATTCTTTCCTGGAGGGATGTGATTACATTCAAGAAGGAACACCATGCACCCTGCCTGGACTTCTGGAACTGTCCACAATTAAATACAGGATTGCATCATTGGTAGCAAAACAGAACCACCCACTGGTGCAGCTCTGGGAATTTTGTGGTCCTGTTGGCTGCTGTGTGGCTCGGTTCTTTACCAGTGCTGAGCCCAGGAGGGCCCTGTGGCACTGTGGAGACCCTAGGCCTGGGTCAGGTGCGCTGGTTCAGCCTTGACCATGTGCATCCCTGGCTGTGTGGCTGAGGGGAGGTCAGCCTCTCTGAACCTCAGTCCTGCCCCGTAGAATGGGGATAATGAGCCCTGGTCCACTGGGAGGTGGAGGATTGCATGAGACAGTGCTGTGGAGAGCGGCCTGGAGCCCAGGCCTGGTGCGCTCTGCAGTCTGAGGGCCCTGCCCAGGACTGTTCCTGGCTGCCTTTCAAAATCCCTTCAGGTGCCTTCCAAGCACTTGAGCCAAGGATTTCTGCCTTCTCTCTACCCCAGTGTTTACTATTTGCAGCATGCATTTAGGCTCACCCATTTGTGGGGCACCTGCCATGTCCCAGGCTGGGGGTTGCAGCCTTGAACATGACACTGTCCTCTCTGAGCAGCTCAGAGCTCATCACTCAGACTGTGGCTTAAGTGCTCTATTTATCTATTACCTTGCTTTTTACTTTTAAAACTTCTATAAGCTTATTGTAGAAAATTAGAAAGTATATAAGTGATTTTTTAAAAACTTTAACAGTCTGTATTTTGGTGTATTTCCTTCTAGCCTGGCTGGTTGTTCTCCCATTCGCTCACTCATAAATAATGTCTACCCATTAGTAACAAAATTACGTACATCCTGGATAGTTGTGTATCCCACTCTTTAGAATTTAATGTTCATTATGAGCATTTTCCCGTGTCATTCAAAATTCTTTGAAAATATGATGTGGAGTGGCTGTCTTGAATTTCTTTGTGGGATATGTCACGATTTGCCCACTACAGAACATGCAGGTGGTTTCTGGAACTTACTGTTATAAATATCTCCATGTTACCTGTGTTTGGGCACAATTCGTGTCTGTGTGTGGAGGTTATGAAGGCAGGATCTGGGGGAGAAGCCCTGTAGAAGTTACGAGGGCGCATCTTGGTTCCCTGCTGGTGGCACTGTGTGTTCTCCACCAGCCGTTCACCAGGCCCCGGCCTGTGTGCCCTCTCACATGTCTGTGTGTCAGAAGTGGTTTGTGCACAGGCCTGGGGCTGAGAGCCAGGCTCTCTGGAAACCTACGAGCAGAACTGTAAGCACAAATTTCCAGAGAAAGGCCACTTTGCAGGCCCGCAGATGCGTAGGCCCAGAAACACTTGTCTGACTCCTTGGGTAACCTTGTTTGCCCTCCCACAGCTTGCGCTGCCCTGCTGCCGAGGCCCCTGATGGTTTTGTGATTTCAATGCAGGTGCTGGCCCCCTCCCAGTCTGCACTGCATGGCTGAGCCCTCCATTGTGTGACAGTCGTCCCGGGTCACATCTGCTTGTCTTTGCCTGCCCCCCAGGAGTCCAGGGCCTGTCCTCCCACCTAACAAAGCTGGACAACTGTGGGCACTTGGGAAACACGTGCAGTTCATAGCAGATGCCAAGTGCAGGTGCCACCCTCCACTGCTCAGTCCTTCAGGTTGTGCGGGAGAGCTGGGCAGTATTCACTTACCACAGTCCTCAGCCCTTTGCTGTATATGTAAATGGGAAAGTAGCCTTATTTATTCAGGCTCCACCCAGCTCTTTGTGTGCCTGTGAGCTGAGACCTTGGTCCCCAGAAGTTCTCTGTTAAATTCCCTCCTGAAAGCATAACAGGAATCAAGAACCACAGGTCTGTCGGGAAGTAGTTTCAATAAAGCCCGGAAGATGTAGTGTGGCCCCCAATGACGGGGTTGCTGCTGCTGTGGCAGGGCCTCATGCCTCATTATCTGGGTCCCAGTGCTTGCAGTGGGGCCAACTCCGTGGCGCTGCTTAAATGCTGAAATGAATGAGAAAGAAATCGATGAGTGACTTTGGGATCATGCTCTCCTCTGTAATGAGGTCCGGGGCAGGCAGCAGGCAGTCTGGCCTCTGCTTCCCGCACGCCAGTGGGCAAGTTGCTTGTCTTCTCTCAGCCTCAGCTTCCTCAACGGAGGACTGGGGACTACCAACCCCTTTTTGCATAAATGGTAGGATTGTTGTGTGATAAGCAGGAAATGCACTGAAAACAACATGGTCTCAAGTAGGGAAAAGGCATCACTGTGTCTCTCTTTGAGAAGCATTTGGGGTTCCTTCCAAATAAAGCATTTCATGGAAATCAATAAAATATCAATTGACAGTATTCATGAGAGATTTTCATTGATGAACCAATGTTCTGCTTTGTTAAATTTCTGTCTCATGTTTTGTTTGTTAGAACAGTTCTCTTCGGTTATTACTTTGCCTGCTTGATCATGGAGAAACCCTTTCTTGGGCTCCAGAGAGGGACTTGTTTCTGTGACCTCTGTCTTGCGGGGTTCCGTCCTTGCTGCAGCAGTGTCACCTTGGCCTCCCGCCTGCCTTTCTCGTCTCCTCCCAGTAGGGGAGTCTTGCTGTAAAGAGAAGGAATAGGGTGGGGGAGAGCAGAGGGGTGGAGATCGAGAGAGATTCTTATTTTGTTTTAAGATGGGAGAAATTCTAATTGCATGTAGAGAGCAAAAGAGAGGGAAGAAGCGATGATCTGGAAGAAGAGGTGAAAGTTACTGGAAAGTGTCATTTGTTTGGGGGGATTGGGGTTTGGTACACACAGGCCATTGTATTGCCCTTGGTCCAGTGGCCTTCCAGGGTGAGGGCTGCGGGCACAGTCTTCCCAGATGCAGACTAAGGGTGCATTGACTTGAGAGAACTTAAAAGCAGTAACAATGTTAAAATGTTGGTCTGCTTTTTATTATTTCCAGGAGCTGCCAATTCTAAACAATGTTGGTAATAAAAATACTGCCTGCCCCGAGTAGGGCCACCCCCACTGATCCCCACCCTGCACACCTCCTGGGTCACCTCTGGAGCCAGTCCTCATTCTAGCAGGAGCCAGGAGCAGCAGGATACAGGGCTGAGGACCCAGGCGTATCTGCAGGTGTGGGGAAGCTCCTGAGGCTGGCTTCCTGCTACTTCAAGTGAGACAGGAAGCACGGTCAGTAGCCGAACGTGAGGGGGGCCGAGGAGAGAGGAGGGGTGTGAAATACTGGTTCACCATCAACAGAGCGCGAATGGCCTAGAGATCGAGGATTGCTTTATGTTTGCACAGCCTTGATGGAGAGGCTGTGGCCTGGGGACCTCGTATGATTTCTAGGTGGCGTTAAGAGTCCCCGTGAGGCTGGCAATGAGAGCGTTGAGGGGAGCCAGTCAGCGTGGGTGTAGATTTTCAGCTGTTTAGCTGGGCGGGTGGAGGCACATGGTCGGCGGGGGAATTGTTCTAGTGACTCACTGAGTGCTTACTTTGTTCCCACTGCTGAGTGCCTACTGTGTTTATGTGCTGAGTAGGCTCATTACTTGCATTTCCTATTGAATTCCCACAACTGAGGGACTATTATTGTTCCAGGATCACCCAGCTTTACAGCATTTAGGGACTGGGGCTGGGAATTGAACCTGAGTTTGTCTGGCTTCAAAGCCATTGTCCTTTCCATCATACCAATTCTTCCTTTCAGTGTTAGAAAAAAATCTAGCTTTTAATTGTTATTGGATCCTAGATTTAATGTTCCCATATGCGCCTGTAATTTTGTCAGACTCAAAAATGATTTTTTTCCACTATGTTTTCCTGCCTAATATAATGGGATGAGCATTACAGACGATTAGTACACATTTGTGAATGGTGACAATGCTCTAAATAGAATTTGGTGGCTTAAAAAGCAATGGATTCCATCTCTCTTGTTCTTAGTTCCTGTGCAGCCAGTGAAAGGTGTCTTAGCTCTTGAGAAATACTATTTTGGCCAATTTTTCCTTGCATTTAATTTGAGAGAGGCTACCTAGAATAGTTAATTGCTGTCAGTGTGGTTCATTCATTTGAAGGTTGGATTTAAGTTTCCAAGTTCCACATGTGGCTTTTACTTTGTGTGTTAGTACTGGAATCCAAGTTGTTGAGTAGATTTGGGTGATAGGGAGGCCCACATTAGACACTGTCCCAGGGACTGAGGACTTGAAATACTGAAGAAAGAACTTCCTGGCACCTGGGGCCACCTGAAGTGAGATGTGTGCTGCCTGGCATGGAGGTGTTTCCAAGAGGGGCACTGCTGGAGGCTGGTGATTGCTTGAAAGGCCAGCCTTCAGTATTTTTCTTTGGAAGTAATCACTGTGTTTATATGAAGATGAAATAACTTATTTTGCTTTTTTTTCTTACAGAAAACACGGCTATCTTCATGTGTAAATGTTGTAACCTCTTCTCACCAAGTCAATCTGAACTCCTCTCCCATGTCTCTGAGAAGCATGCAGAAGAAGGGGTCAATGTCGATGAGATCATCATTCCTCTTAAGCCTCTGAGTACTCCTGAACCCAGCAACCCAAGCAAAATAGGAGATGGTAAGGGGCCTGGGTTCTGGTGAGGGTGCCATGCCCACGGGCGTGCCTATTGCTAGCAATGTTGCTGATTTGCTCTCAAATTCTTGGATGCCAGGTTTCTATTTAGTGGGCATAGAAACCTAAAGAATCCAAATTTCCACCCCAGAAGTCACAATAATTGTCCAACTTTACATCTGCTCAAGTAAGATAGTGTCTTTGAAGTCCTGTACCTGGCCCTTTGTAAGTTCTTCTCTAATGCCTGGTTGGTAGATGAAAGAATGAATGAGTGAGTGAATGAATGAATGAGTAAATGGAGGGAGAGAGGGAGGGAGGGAAGAAGGGAGGAAGGAAGGAAGGAAGGATGGATTTGATTTACATTTCCCTGATGACTAGCGATGTGGAGCATCTTTTCATGCATGTGTTGGCCATATGTACGTCTTCTTTGGGAAAATGTCTATTCAGGTCTTTTACCCATTTTTTAAATCAGGTTTATATGGTAGATTCTTAGTGACCAACATAAGTCCCCTCCCGCTCCTCTTCCCCAAAGCAAAGAGGATCAAATGTGTACTCTCAGCTGGTACGTGAGTTGGTGTAACTTCCCACGCAGTCCTGGGGACAAGACAGACCTGTGCTAACAAATGCCAGGACACCACCAGTGTGAGCTGATGGCGATGATGATACAGATCCCACTGGCTCCTCCTCATTTGCCATTACTAGTTTCGAGTCCTAGATTTTCTCAGTTTTCATACTATGCCACTATCAGTAACTTTAACTTCTAATTTCTTAACAGCTTAATCCTGTCAGGTATATTTCTCCAAACACCCTGAGAATGACCACAGAGCTTGTTAACTCTGTGGAAGGAAGGAAGGAAGGAAGGAGGTGGCAGCATCCCTTGCTGTCAGGCAGGTATGCGTTTAACCAGCTCTAGCGCCTACTAGCTGTGCTACCAAAGCAAATGATACAGCTTCTCTAAGCCTCCCCCTGCTTATCCGAAAAATGCCCATTACCGGGGAGGTGCTGAGAATTAAGTTGAAGCATATACCTACAGTGCCTAGGATGATACCTGGCACAGAGAAGACAATAAAGGGAAACTGTTATTATAACATGTATGGTTAGTAAAAAGTAGATATAATCTTAGAAATAGCATTTCTGAACCAATCACATGAACCTGGAACAAGGATTCCAGTTGCAAAGCTTTGGCTTACACAGAATCCTTCCAGTTCACAGTCAGTGTGCAGAGTGAGACGCACTTGTCTGCAGTGTTCAGACATCTCCCACTGAATGGGTTCTGATGCGCAGGTGGATAGGTTAGAGAAATCATGCAGGCACTGTAATTAGGTCCCCACAGACAAAGAAAATATATAGGACAGGACAGAGAGCTGCAAACACGAGTTAGAAAAAGCCCCCACATTTATATGGTGAGGGACAACAGCCAGTCTCCTGCACAAAAGCAGTCTGTGGCCCTCGTGTCCTATCGCAGGACTCATTAGCCCCTCCAATAAGCCTGTTGCTCTTCCTGGGAATACGCAGACTGGCATTTCTAAACAGGCTGGCTTATTGATCATCTGTCTGACACCATCAGCAAGGAGAAACTGCAGACACAAAATGTTTTGGTTAACAAGCTCTGTGGTCATTCCCAGGTGTTTGGAGAAATACACCTGCCAGGATTAAGTTGTTAAGAAGTTAGAAGTTACTGATAGTGGCATAGTATGAAAACTGAGAAAATCTAGGACTCGAAACTAGTAATGGCAAATGAGGAGGAGCCAGTGGGATCTGTATCATCATCGCCATCAGCTCACACTGGTGGTGTCCTGGCATTTGTTAGCACAGGTCTGTCTTGTCCCCAGGACTGCGTGGGAAGTTACACCAACTCACGTACCAGCTGAGAGTACACATTTGATCCTCTTTGCTTTGGGGAAGAGGAGCGGGAGGGGACTTATGTTGGTCACTAAGAATCTACCATATAAACCTGATTTAAAAAATGGGTAAAAGACCTGAATAGACATTTTCCCAAAGAAGACGTACATATGGCCAACACATGCATGAAAAGATGCTCCACATCGCTAGTCATCAGGGAAATGCAAACAAATCCACAGTGAGATATCACCTCACACCCATGAGAATGCTTACATCAAAAAGGCAAGGTAACCAGTGTTGGTGAGGATGCAGGGGAAAGGGAACCCTTTACACTGTTGGTGGGAATGTAAATTGGTACAGCTCCTATGGAAAACAGTGTGGAGGTTCCTCAGAAAATTAGAAGTCGAACTCCTATATGATCCAGCAACTCTACTGGCAGGCATGTGTCCAAAGGCAATGAAATCAGTTTCTCAAAGGGATACTGGCACCACCATGTTCATCGCAGCATTATTCACATAGACGACCTAAGTGTCTCTTGACAGATGAATGGATTCAGAGAATGTGACACACACACACACACACACACACACACAGGAATATTATTCAGCTACAAAAAAAGGAAATACTGCCATTTGTGACATGGAGGACATTATGCTAAGTAAAATAAGCCAGACACAAATACGATCTCAACAGACTTTCAGATGAATAAATTCTGGGGATATAATATACAGCATGGTGACAATACTGTATTGTACACTTGAAGTTTCCTAAGAGAGTACATCTTAAATGTTCTACCACAAAAAAAAAAAAATGGTTACTGTGTGAGATTATGGATGCATTAATTAGCTTGATTGTGTCAAACATTCACAGTGTACATGTATATTAAATCATCTTGTTGTACATCTTTAAGAAACCACATTGTGCAACTGAAATATATACAGTTTTTGTTTGTCAGCCATGCCTTAGTAATGCTGGGGATAAAAAGAATCTACCGTGTACTAGGGGCCTCAAAGTTCAGCCACCCCTCCGTCTGCTGCCCAGTCTGGGCGTGAGTAAGGCTCATCCGTCAGTCCAACTGGGGAAACCTCCATGATGTCCACATTCCACCCCCATGATTTAGATGCCTTGGCTTTCCAAAGGCTGTAGCTTTACAGACACATGGAACCAAAGCTGAGGTCAAGAACTTTGAATATTTGTTCCCCGTGCCTCTGGGGCTGAACCTCTACAGACCCAGAAAAATAGATGATCTCTTGTAAAATTCATATGGTGTTAGAAGTCATATGGATTAACATGTAAAGAATTTTGAGAAAGTTTATTATGAAGCTTTTGATTCTATTTTATTCAGCTTTGACTAAAATGATTTCCTTTTTACCAAAATGAAATGTGAATAAGAGATAAAATAATTTGAATTTTTCATTTCACTTTTAAATAATAAATGAATAAATGATGATAAAGTAGCTAGAACCTCATGTGGAATTATGTGTGTCGGTCTTGTATAAATAAGGTACACATTGGCTGACTTGTGTTGTCTCCCTCCTAACCTATGTTAGTGAAAGATAATACTGTCCACTCAGGAGGTCATCCTGGACTCCCGTCTTCTGAAGGTCACCTCCTCTTGGTCTCCTGCAGCCAGCCCCACCATGCCCATCACCCACCTTGTCACTGTTCTACAGCCATGGGTCTGGTGCTCTGCCTGGGAAGCTCCTTGTAGATGCCATTGACTAGCTCACCCCTGCATGTTCATAAGACTTACTCAGCTTGTATTTGCCCCAGGACAGATCCCTGCACCCGGGCTTAGAGGAGCTTCTCGGGGATCCTGTGACCCCACAGATACATCTCAGTTATTTTTCTGGAAGTGCTTTCATTGTCTCTGTCTGCTTTGGAAAAATGTCTTTTCAGGTCCTCTACCCAATTTTACTCTGGTTGTTGGCTTTTTTTTTTTAATGAGTTGTATGAATTCTTTATTTCTTATTTAAGTCTATATACTTGGATGATTTCAGTCCTTATAAATTGATTATGACTTGATTTATGGCCTAATGTGTTGTTGATGGTGAAGAATGTTCCATATGCAGCTGAGAATTTGTGTTCTGCTGCTGTTGGGTGGTATCCTGCATATATGAGTTAGGTTTTGTTGGTTTGCAGTGTTGTTCGTGTTTTCTGTTTCCTTGCCAATGCCCAGATATTATAACTGAGGAATACGTATCTTAGAGACTAGAGGAGTTAAAGCAGTATCTTCCAGGTTACCTAATTAGTAAGTGGGAGAGTGGATTTGGGCCTGGCTGATCGGATGGTAGTTGCACGTTCCTGTGGTACTCTGAGTATAGTCAAATTCTTAACCACTGAACTACTTTTTTTTTTTTTTTT